CTATGTTGACTAAGGTTCGAGCTCCTGGCAAAGGCTCTGCCACACTCATCACATCTGTACGGTTTCTCTCCAGTATGGATTCTTTCATGACCCCAAAGGTGTGAACGTGTGGTGAAATCCTTACCACATTCATTACATTTGTAAGGTTTCTCTCCAGTATGGATTCTCTTATGTTGAGAAAGATTTGAACACGCAGAAAAAGATTTACCACACTCATTACATTTGTAAGGTTTCTCTCCAGTATGAATTCGCTTGTGACGCCAAAGATGAGAACGTATCATAAAATCCTTACCACACACATCGCATTTATATGGTTTCTCTCCAGTATGGATTAGCTGATGTCTTGTGAGACTTGAGAACCTGTTGAAGGCCTTGCCACACTCATTACATTTGTAAGGTCTCTGCTCAGAATGAATTCTTTGGTGACTAGCTAAGGCTGAGCAATGGCTAAATGCTTTTCCACACTTGCTACATTTGTAAGCTTTTTCTCTAATGTGTGTTTTCTGGTGTTGTATAAGCAATGAAGGATGCCTAAGAACCTTTCCATTTTTATCACAAAAGTTGGTTTTGACACTAGAAGAAATCCTGTGAAGTGGTGAAATTGTAGAACGATTTTTGATAGAATTCTCAACTTGATTACATTTATAAGCTTTCTTTTCAGTTTGAAATCTCTGCAGTTCAGCCAAATGTGAATGAAGGCTTAATTCAAGCCTATTTTCCAAATATCCCATAGACTTGTTTCCTGAACAGCCTTCGTTATTTGTTTGTTCCTTATTCCTCATGTATAATGTGTCATATTTGTAATATTGAGATGTATTTCTTCTTATAGAAACATTGTGCTCTACAGGGAAATTATTGCAGCATTTATGATGGTGTTGATCTCTTCTACCGGTGGGATTTTTGTAAAGGGTTGTAGTCACTCCTTTGTGGTATTTTCCTTCATATACGCACTGGCTCTCAAATGTGTGCATACTTCGCTGGACTTCCCTGAAATCAAAATCATCAGAATCATGACTTAGGTGTCTTTCCAAAACCAGTATTTGGAGTAATTCTCCATTATTAACGTGCTCTTTTGGTGATGATTCTTTGGTCACACATCTAGTAGAAACATCTGTAAGGTACAAATAATCACAGGTTTCCCATTAACCACTTGGAATAATTATTTTATATTGAAAATTATTATACCAAAACTCATAATTAACAGTAATCAAGAGCCTCAACCATTGGGGGCGGAGAGCAAATGTTTACAAAAGCAAAGGAAGTAAGATTCTTCAGTAAAGGAAGGGTGATTACATGTACTTCAAATTATTTTCAGGGAGGCCTGCTTTCAAATGCTCTGTGATCAAAAGATAGGACAGCTCTGAAAGAAGAGGGATATTGCAGAGGCACCGCAAACACGAAACTCACAGGAGACATACAGGTGTCCCACACTTGAGAAAACATAGATCTTAGAGCTAATTACTAAACACTACTGAATACAACATCAAAACAACACTTTTATTCTTCTGTATACTTGTTACAAAACTATCCATGCAAACTATGCATACTGCAATATTTACTGCACTGTGGTTATATTAATAATTATGTTGTAATCATAATAAAAAGTAATAAACATTTTAATAACCTGACACAAATGCAGTAGTAAGAAGAAATATTGTTTATACATGTACACACACACAAAGACAGACACACCGACTGGGATCTAAAGAATTTACCCATAAGTACAAGAGGAAGGACTTATATTTCAGAAGGAATATGTAAGATAAAAACTGGAAAATGTGTTGAAAATTACTGACTTTGAAATAAGAGGTTCATATAGATATGTAAAATTATAGATATCGATAAAGGGAAATGTGAAAAAGCCGGTAACCCCAAAATGTATCTCTTACAGTAGCAGGAAATGAACTATCAAAACTGTCAGACTCAAATTCATAAAACGCTCAAAGTTAATGAGAAAGGATTCCAGCAACGAGGCACACTCAAGAGACAAGCAACTGTTTAAACTTGTCCTGACCCAATTCCTGTTCTTCAGCTTGGCAGTGGCCTTGAAGACAGCAGCCCACAAGCTGGTACAGGCTTCTAGGACTAGAGGAGACAGAACAGACCTTATAAAGGTTTGTGGCATTTTGTTTTTAATCTGCCTATGGTCCTACTGAAGGACTGGTTCAGAGTGCTTGCATTTGTTCGCTCTACCTTAGAACTCCTATCTACATGATGCTGCAAACATGGGACATTTGTCAAAAACACTTAATGGCAAATGTATCGGCCACTACCACCTAGGGCAAGAGATAACTAGAGCAAACAACATACAAACCAAAGACCTTGAGAAAAAACTGGGGAGAAAGGGTTTTGAAAATCCTCAACATAGTCCGGAGATTTCAGGAGGTTACCAGTATGCCCAGGACTGGACATATAAGAAAAGACCTGAGACGTCCCTAAACTTACCTCTGGAACCATCAGATTCTGAGCAAGCAGGAATTGAATGCTAAGGCAGAGCTGTAAACTTCCTGCCTGACTGCACAGGACGTCTCCAGGACACACACACAGGCCAGCTATAAACAATGACGTAAGGTGGTTTTGATTTTACCTCCAGGTGTTTAAGGAAATTTGTCCAATCGTTAGCTGACCAATAAGCAAACCAAAGACTTCAGTAGCGATGCAAATAAAACACACCAAACAGAAGTAGTTGAGATAAATTTAAAAACACAGAACACAAAAAAACAATAATGTAATTTCCAAAGCTTCAACATAATTTGAAGTTCCTGCTTTTTTTTTTCCCCAAAAAGCTACAAATCAGGCAAACCAAAAATAAAGTATGCCCCATACAGAATAAACACACATACACAAATAAGTAACAGAAACTGTCCCTAAGGAAATCCAAGCTTGGGGCTTGTTGAACAAGCACTGTACCTATTCAAGGTAAAGGGAATGATGGACAAAGAATTGAAGTCAGGAAAATAGCATTAAAACAAATACAGAATGTCAACACAGAGATAGAGGTTATAAAAAGAAATCGGATTCTGGAACTGAAATGTAAAACAACCGAAATGAAAAGTTTCCTAGAGAGAGACAATATCAAATTTGACCAGGCAGAAGAAAGGCCTATCAATCAAACTTGTAGACACATCAGTTGAAATGACCCTGTCTGAGGGGCATAAAGAAAAAGACTAGATGGATATGAAAAGAATTTGAGAGACCTGTAGGATACCACCAAGTGGACCAATAGTTGCGTATTGTGAGTCACAAAAAGACAGGAGAAAGAAAGATTATTAGAAATATAGTAAAAAATTTCTTAAAGGTGAATAAAGACATGTTCTACAAATCGCAGAACTCAATGAACTGCAAGTAGGATAACTCAAAGAGATCCACACCTTGACAAATTATAATCAAACTGTTGAAAGTCAAAGGCAGAGAGAATCTTGAAAGCAGCAAGGGAGAAGGTACTCATCATATACGGGGGAGCAACAGGTTGAAGGGCTGATTTCTCATCCAAAATCACAGAGTCCAGACACAGTGGGATGATGTATTTCAAATGCTGGTACAGAAAAAAACTGTCAACCAATTCCATTAGTGAAATTCTTTTAAAAATGAGGCAGAAATGAAGACTGCCAAGAACAAAAGGGGAGAGACTTCCTTATAACTAGACTTCCCTTCAATAAAAAGAGGGAACACTTCTTAATTGATTCTGAGGCCAACATTACAATACCAAAGCCAAATAAAGGCATCTGAAGAAAACTACAGACCAATTTCCCTGCTGAATATAGATGCAAAAAATCCTTGACAGAATACTGGCCAAATGAATATAAAGCATATTAAGATTACATACCATAAGGAAAGTGACTTACTCCAAGAGTTCAAAGTGGTTCACCAAAGAAATCTACCAATGTAAAAACCCACACTAATAGTAAGAAAAGAGAAAAAAAAAAAGTAAAGGAAAAAAGCCCTACACAATCATCTCTTTGCATACAGAATTGCTATTTGACTATTTTCATGATAAAAACACTTAGCATACTAAAATAGAAGTAAAATTCCTCAACACCATACAGATCATTTTTGAAAACCCACAGCTAATATCATAGTCAATGGTGAAAGAATAAAGGCTTCCGCCCTAAATAAGGAAAAAGACAGGGGTGTCAACTTCCATCACTGCTACCTAATGCTGTACTGGAAATTCTACATTATTAGGCAAGAAAAGGAAATTAAAGTATACAAACTAGAGAAGAAAAAGGCAGATTATCTCTGTATGTATAGAAAGCTCCGCAAAACACACACACACAACCATTTAGCATGATAAATGTCAGAAAAGTTGCAGGATACAGTATCAACACATGAAAATCAGATGTATTTCATACTCCAAAAAGAACTGAAAAGGAAATTCAAAAAGTAATTCCATGAATAATGTTAACATTCAGATAATAAAATACTAGGAATAGTTTCACCAAGGAGATGAAAGACATGTAGATGGATGACTACACAGTATTTTTGAGAATTAAAGAATACCTAAATAAATGGAAAGATAGTCTGTATTTGTGGATTAGAAGATTTCATATTTTTGAAGATGGTAATATTCACAACTTTGGTGGCCTACAGATTCTACATAGACACTATCAGAATTCCAAGAATGATTTTGGAGAAATGGAAAAGATGACCAAATTCATGTGGAACTGCTTGGGCCCTGAAGAATCAAGACAACACTGGAAAGGTATCTACAGAACAGAGAGACAGGATGTAGACCGGGAGTTTCCAGGGACTGGGGACAGAAGGAAATGTGCAGAACGCTTAATGGGTGATGGATGCTACCCTGGAGTGATGGAAACGCTGTGGAACCAGTAGAGGTGGCAGCTGTACAATTGATAAATGCACATTTTAAATGCCCCCAAATAGTTGACTTTAAAATGCTTAATTTTATGTTACATGAATTCACTTTAATAACTGTTTTTTTCAAAATAACGTAAGTGATTACTTTCACAATGTCTTTTTAAAATTGATATTTGCCAATAATGACATGTTGAAAGTTTGAAGCCAAGTCTCTTTATTATTATAAAAAATGATAGTTTCTCTTAGAATTTCAGATAATGGGAGGAGGCCAGCCTATCCCTGGCTCTCACATAAAAAAGACCTGATGGATGTACTCCTACTGTATGAACTAGTAAACAGAACTATCACAAATAAAATTTAATGTGCACAAGCCCCAAATGAATGACTGACTTCACAAAGATCATCAGGATGTGTAGTCCCTTTACGGGCCATATGACCGGGAGCGCGGAATGACTTCTAGCGGAGGCAGAACTACTAGCAGCGGCAATGAATCGCCAAAACAGGTTTTGACAGTTCAGGAGATGCATGGAGGAGATGGGCTGTGCAGAGGGGACCAGTGACATAAGCGGCCGGTGACACCAGACCAGAGAGCGACAGGAGAGCGGTGGGATATGGGTCAACAAGGACAAGGTGACCTTCACGCAGAATTCAGGTCAAGTGGAAGGATGGGAACAAAACAGTCCTCATGGGTTAATGTCCAAAACTTAAAAGCAGTTTCCAGCATGTTAGAAATGCTGTGGGGAAAACTACTGTAAGTAATGGTGATGAGTGAGTACATGTAGTCCGAGAAATTGGCTATGTTTCCCATAAAATAAAATCAGATATTTAAATATTAGTTTAGAATACCCAAAGTTTAGGTGGTGAGTCTAGACAGGGATTTGATTTATTACATTACAGCAGTTGGGCCAAAATACAAAAAGTCCATAATATTCACACAAAACCCAACGGTATGTTTAGAAAACTTCAAAGATACCAAAGGAAAACTTGGTTTTTCCTGTAACACATCACCACCAATCAATGTAATCGCGCATTTCTGGGATGAAGATAGTACCTTAACGACAAAGTATATTCTCAAATAGCCAGTATTTGCCATTTTAAAATTCCAAGTTGATTCAAACAAAGTATTTGTTAATAGTAGGTATTAAGTTGAGCAAAACAGATGTAAAAGAAATAACTTTGATATTTTAGTAAACTAGAGATATGTGTGTTTGGGGGAAACTACTGCTGAGCCGTAACCCTCAACACTCAAGAAGGGAATTTTGTAAAATACATTCATTCCTTGATCTAACAGTCCCACAAATTACAGACACAAAACAAATAATACTATGAATGTCATCGAGTACATGTGATGAATGATGAAATAAAGAGATGACAAATTCACGTGTAATACATGGAAATGTGGACTTAGAACTGAGCCCAGACTGAGAGGCCAAGGAAGGAAGAGGTCCCCTTGTGGAGGCCCTTCCTGTGCCCCCCGGGCCGACCCGGAGGAGGGCAGCAGGGCGGCAGGGGGATGCTGCGGGTCGGGGTGGAGACCCGCCTCTGTCCTCGCCCGGGCTGGACGGAGGGCCCCTGCGGGGAGGGCGGGCACTTCACGCATGAAGACAGTGCCGGTACCCGGGGAAGAAGTGGTTCCTCTGGCAGCTCACAGGAAATAAACTTGCAGTTTCTAACAGACCTCTCACTTTGGGGAAGAATCCCCCAAGGAGTGCTGATGAGGCCCCTTCCTCTCTGCCACCTGGGCCCTCGCGTCCACACCTTTGATCCATTCCCACCCACCGGGGTTTGTCCACCATTTTCACCTCCCTCTTCACAGTCTGGGCCTCCCCTTGCTCTAAAGTGGAGCTACGTGCGCTCGGAAGGGGCCTCCTGCCTGTGCGGGAAGAGGCAGAGGCGGGCGGCCTTCCTGTGACGGAGTCCCAGCCCTCTGCTCCCCGGGACGCAGGGACATGGCGGACGGGCGTAAAGCGACTGCGCTAGCTTTCCAGAGTGTCTCCTCCCACGAACACTCTGAGTGCACAGAGTCGGCTCTTTTCCCAGAACCGTGACCCCAAAGGAGGGGCGGAACCGGGCAGTCAGACGTCGGACCGTTTTCCGACAGGGCTTCCTGCCGCCTCGGCTTCTAGAACCACCAGCCCAGCCCCTGACGGGGGAAGTTCTGAGTCCGGATCCTGCATTGTGAGGCTTTCATTCCTAAATTGACCCGGCTTCACCCCGGGCGAGCGAGCGGGCCCCCAAGACACAAGACAACGCAGACGCCCAGGGGCAGCCCCCAGCTTCTGGAACGAAGCCCATCCTCACCCAGGAAGACCAGGTTGCTGTAGGTCTCCTGCATCACGTCCCGGTACAAGGCCCGCTGGGCGGGCGCCAGGCATTCCCACTCCTCCTCGGAGAATTCGATGGCCACGTCCCTGAAGGTCAGCAGCCCCTGGAACGGAAACACATTTCCAAGGGGCCATTAGGAGAGGACTTACAGGGAAGGGAAGCGGGACCGCGGTCATTTAGAAAGGAGTGTTCTGACAGCTCCACCAAGGATTGTTTTGAGTGAGTCCTAGATCCCTAATTCTCCTTTATTATTACACTTTTCCATTAGAGGATGACATCACCTGAATTACCAGGATCTTAGAATTTTGTGCAATACAAAACATACACGTGAAAAAAATTCAGCAGTGGGCACACAAGTTGTAGACATTACTCTCCCTACACCAAACGGCGGCTAATTTCTAGGCGAGCTAGGCCGTGAGCGCCTTCACGAGAGCAAGTCCACCGCAGCTTCAGGTCCGAACTGAAAAGATGGGGTGATGGGAGGGGTACCGAGTAAGCAGCAGGTGTTATGAGCACTCCCCACACCAGAAGCGTCACTCCTGACACTGCACAAGTATTAACTCTTACAAAGCAGCTCACCAGAGATTTCTTCTCACTTTAAAGACAACCCGCAGGACCCGCTCTGTCAAAGGCACTCTAAGAAACTTGCCTTGGGTCAACTAGCGAATAAACGGCCGTCAGCACCTGAACCCGGGGCTCACCCCAGAACCAGCCCTGCGGCATCACACAGTCGGGCAAGACGGACGGCTTCCTCACTGAGAAGGCCCCAAACAAGCTGGAGGCAGAAAACGGGGGCCTGGCACCGGGGCAGCACATCCGCACGCACATTCACACAGCGAGCTACCATTCATACTGCTGTTGACTCGTTATGCAGAAGAAACTCGAGGCCATGGAAGACACGTAAGACATAGTTCCAAACTTAAAACGTACTTGTGAGATGATGCGATGACATGCCATGGGTTCCTGGTCACAGACACAAACACGTACACTGAAATACCCGAAATAAATGTAGCTGCCACCAGGTGAAGCTTCACCACATTTTCGGTACAATGAGCATATATACATGGTACTGAATGTAAATAAGACTGTCTACATTATTCTGTATTGGCCTAGCTATAAAAACAACGCTGCAAAAATAAAATAAAATAAAACAAGAGCCCCTACCTTCAATCTTCCTTAAATGCACACATGCGAAGATGCCAGGCGGCAGCTGCGCGGCGCTGTGCGGTGCGGGGGGCAGGCCCGGGGCGAGCGCGAGCCCACCGCAGGGCAGGAGCGAGAGCGCCCCGGCCCGAGTGGCCGTTCGGGACCCAGAAGACGAGCGGCGGCCCGAGAACATGCCTCACCTGGGAGAGAGCCATTCCTGACTCCTGTCCTTCCTCGCCTCCTCTGGGCCGCCTTCTCAGGCCAGCTGAGTCTTGACAGGCCAGTCTTGAGTGTCAAAGATGCGCTGGTCAATGCTTCTGACCAACACAGTCCTCCTGTTCCGCAACCGCGCGCAGGGAGGACCTCACCATGTGGGGAAAAGGGCCGCCCGCTGCCCGCTGCTCAGGCTCGGACACGGGCGCCGCCGGCCGAGGCTTGGCTGCAGAACCTGCTCCCCTCCTCGGCGCCCTCGCACCGGCCACAGCGGTGGGGAACTGCGCCGGACCGACCCTCGAAGCCACAGACCCGGCCCTGGTCACCCCCTGCGGAGGGCAGCCGCCTTCTCTCCCGATTAGGGGCCGCCTCCCGTCCTCAGATGGAGGACCGAGAGCCTGGGGGACAGACAGCGGAGTCGCCTAGACACTTGAAGCGTCATGAGGCTCGCCCGTCTCCCCGGACCCTGGGGGGAAGCCTGGGGACTGGGCACAGGGGTGTCTGCAGAAGCGCCTCAGCCATCCAGTCAAGTCCCGGCTGAGCGCCCCCAGAGGCAAGCCCGGCACACTTCCACCTGCGGGCTCTGCCCTCTGCTGGGGCCCCGTCCCGTCTCCGGACAGCGGAGGAGAAGGGGCGGAAACACGCAGAGTAGGCGCTGCGGGCCCGGCGGGGGCAGGGCGTGGCTGGAGAGGGAGGTGATCGCGTGGAGAAGGTACCGGAACGGGGGCTGGGGGAGGAAGGTCAGCGGAGCTCCAGGCACAGGGGCCCGTGGGGAAGCCCCGAGGCGGTGCGGCCGCGGCCCCGGGAAGGGCAGACGCTGGGGCTCCGCCCCAGCCGAGGGGAGGAGACGAGCAGGAGGTGAGGTCGCAGGGGCTTTGGGGGGCGCCGAGCAGGACTCGGGCGGCTGCGGGCGCGGGGCAGCAGGAGGGCGGCGGGGCCTGCGAGCCCCAGGGCCACCCGCCCGGCCGGCCCGGCGCGGGGGGCAGGAGGCGGCCTGCCCAGAGGACGAGCCCCAGGCGCCAACGGCCTCAGGGGTTCTCCGGAAACGAAAGCGCGGGTGCGGGGTGTTCACGTCCGCGGCGACCCCCAGACCGCAGGCGCGAAAGGCCGCGAACTCACACGCTCGGGTTTAAAGCGGAAAGACCGACACTTCCAGGCGCCGGCCGGGCCCTCACTCCGCGAGAGCCGCTTCCGCGTCTGCCAGAAACTGCGCGTGCGCGCCGCTGGGGCGTCGGGCCCGGCGGGGCGCTCCGCGGCCGCTGGGTCCCAGGGCCTCCCGCTCCCGCAATTTGCTACCGTTAGACTTTGTTTCGCGTCCCGTGGAACAGGGCTGCCCCCTGCTTATTCTAACTCAAGGTTTCAAACTGTTTCAGGTGAAAGCTTAGAGCTGTGCCAGCCGCCCAGTGGAAAGCATCCCAGCTTACGTTTAACATTTGGAAAACGGCTGTTAAGCTAAAGCTTTTTGCGAACGGGTGAGGCTCGCGTCTCGGGAGAGGCCAGCGGGACTCGGCGGGCTGGGAGCGCGGACCTCCGTGCGGTTGCAGCGGGGACAATCAACTCGGATGCTTTCACCCAGGAACGTCTCCTGCAATTAGAATTGCACTTGTCCGTGCAGGGATGCAAACTTGAATGTGAGAAGCAAAACTGCCTGAGCGAATGTGCCGACATCCGTCAGAGCATCTTCACGCTTGTTCCCCATCCGCTCACCCTGTGCCCAGTTCCAGAGCAAGACCTGGGCTGAGGGAGTTGGAGGATGACGCAGGTAATAATTTCGGCCTCTGGTCATTGCTTTTTAAAGAGAAAAAGCAGTAACTTAAAAAAAATAGATGTTAAGTTTGCATCGTTCTTTATACTTACCACTATTACACACTAGGTGAGTGGCACTCAAATACGTTTGAGGTAAACCTTTGTGACAATTCATTTATCAATAATTTCTAAATACAATTTCAAAGTCATTACACATGTATTCAACAAGACAATTATATTTGTTCATCTAAGGAATAGTTTTGTAATGTTTCCAGGGGCATTCGATGGGGATATGTTTTCTTTTATATGAACTCTAAAGAATGAAAAGCTAGATTATCAAATTTCCCATGGTTTCATACATAACCATCAACAATGTTTAAGGCAAGACCATGAGTTTATGCCATGAAATATATGTTTGTTTTCAAATCCATGCATATGGGAGATTTCTCTTCAGGAAGAATTTTTTGACAAGCTTACTTAAGGCATTTCTGGATTAAAAAAAAAACCTTTTTAACATACCTTAAGTTTATAAGGAACTTGATGTACACATCTTTGAATGACATTGAAGGGTCCCCCGTCTTATTTATGGCTATGTTGTGTCTGTTCCTGTCATATATACAAGACGTCATTGTATTTTGGAAGATGCTGCCTAAATTACCCAAGTCAGAGGTCTATGTAACTGTTATGTTGAACCAGGAGAACTCAGAGGCTAAAAAAAACCTTTTTTCCCTTTGCCATTTTTCTGAAGCTCATGGAAAAACCCAGCAGCCAACATCACAAATTTTTATGATCATGACCAGACAATTATAACTAATTAAAATGTCAGAGCCAGATAACATTCAAAACTGTGTATTATCCTGGCATTCTCTCTTCTACCAATTGAGCTCCAGACAGGGGACGTTCTTTTCCCCCCATAGTCCCTTCCTCTTTCTCATTCCAAGGTTTCTACTGGATGACTTGATAGCTTCATGACTCTGTTCTAAAGTCAAAAAATAAAAAAGGAAAAATAGAGGAAATAACCTCTCCTGATGTTTGCATAGTAGCATGAGTTGTGACACTCCCTGAATACCTAGCCAGGCCACTGACCACTCTGCCTTAACCTTCACTTTGTGCAAAGCCGGAGGAAATCAGTCACGGTTTTCTCAGGTACTTTATTCCCCAGTACATGTGGACAACTTGAAAAGCCCTTCTTCCACACACACCTTTTTTTCTGTCATTCCCCATGCTTTTGGCATTTCTGTGGTTTATCCCATTCTCCCTTGCCCTAGTCCACAGAGACTCATACTTATGCTTTTAAATGCTGTATGATTCTCACTGAAGTCTGCCAGTAAGTAAAACCTATATAGAATTTGAAAAGCAGAAGTAAAGCAGAGAATGTCAATCTCAGAAGAATCCAGTGACCAGGTTAAAAGACTTTGATAAAACCTCCCCACCATCTCTGACGACACATCTAAGGCAGTCAGAAGCAGTAACTTCTTAGATATATCCATGATCGTCGGCTTCCACCCATCCTAGGATTTCAGTATGTAGTTGCCAGTGAGTATCTCTATGATCCACCATTCTTCCATACATTTCATTGCTCATACTCCTTCCAAATCCTTTCCTTTGTATAATAATGCTTACTCTCAAATAATTGTATTGTTTTCCCGACCAAAGAGTGTTACAATCATTCAAATAATACCATTCCTGTTTCCAAAGTTAACCAGCATGACCATAATTTGTCTCATAGTCCTTTGGTCTTCCTACCATTACAACTCAATCAAAGAGTGTTTCTCATGTTATTTTAAAATCTAGTAAAGCAACTCTGATGCTTAAAAATAGATGGGACAACTGAGTATCTACACGGAAAAGAATGAAGTTGGACCCCTGTATCACACCACATACAAAAGTCATTCAAATCGAATCAAAGAACTTAATGAAATAACTATAACTATGAAATACTTGGAAGAAAACATAGATATAAATTTTCCAACATCGGAAGTGTATCTAAGAACCAAAACTCAGGCAACCCCTCCCCCAAATTTAAAACTTGTGTCAAAGGACATTACCAATAAAGTGCAAAGACAATCCACAAAACAGGAGAAAAGATTTTCAAATCATATAGCCAATAAAGGGTATAAAAATTCTTAAACAAGAACAAAAGAACTCAATTTAAAAACAAAGCACGGCATTTGAACTTCTTCAAGGTATATCAATGGCCAAGAAACACATGAAAAGATACTCAACATCAGTCACTAGAGAATACTGATCAAAACGATACCCCTTTATCTGCTGGGATAGCTATAATCTAAAAGATGGAAAATAACTATTAATGAGGAAGTGAAGAAACTGAAACCTTTGTGCATCACTGGTGGGAATGGAAAATCATGCAGTTGCTTTAGAAAAGTTTGGCAGTTCCTCAAAAAGATGAAACTGAGTTCTTATTCTTGTGACACAGCAATTCCATCCCTATTTATAGACCCGAGAACTGAAAATGTTCACCAGAAACAAACACAGAAAACTTTGTAAATGACATAGCCAAGAAGTGGAAGGAGCCCAACGAATTTTCCACAATGAAATATTATTCAGCCATAAAAGGGAATGAAGTATCACCCATGACATGGATGAGCCTTGAAAACGTATCTCACTGAAAGCAGGTAGGCATGAGAGGCAATAATAGACTGCATGGCTTCACGTACATGAAATGTTCAGAACAGGGACAGATTCTGACAGGGGGCTGGGACAGGAGTGCGAAAGGGTGGGCTTTCCTTTTGAGTGATGGAAATGTTCTGAAGTTAGTGCTGATGCTTTTACAAAATTATGAAACCCATTTAATTGTACATTGTCAAGGGGTCAACTTTATGGCATAGGAGTTATAAACTAAAATCTAATGTTTAGGTTGAATTCAAGAAAGTATTCTGATCTACTGACTCATGCCTGCAAGACCTCGGAGATCCGGGGACCTGTACCCACGGCAACAATGCAAGAGACAATAATAATCTGGCAAGGAAAAGAATTTGAGATAATTTTAATGTAAAGTAAGCGTATTTTTAACAAAAATCCAGTTAGCAATAGGTCTCCTGCCTCCACAATATATGAGATTTCAGTTCACCATTTTGTGTCATCCCAGTTCTTTCACTGAACTGAAAATATAAAGGGCCCTCTTTTCTTAATTCTTTAAACAACTAGTTTGTACCTGTCATTGTTCTATTAGCATTTTTTGTTACATTTCAAAACCACCCCTATGTATGCTCCAAATTTCTTTGCTGACTGCAGAAATGAAATGTAAATAAAATATAGTTGATTTAAAAGCTGTGTGTGTGTGTGGGGAAGTGGCAGGGAAAAATTTGTATAATATAAAGATGAATTTTAACATAGTTGAAAAAGGAACATGAACCATAAAGCTTACTACATAACTCCATCATCTCAGACTGGGATTTGTACAGCCTCTGAATTGCTATCCTAGTAAAATTACCAAATCATAATTTGTCTGATAAGCATTTCTATACATTTTCATGAAACTACCATAAAAATATCAATTTATCTAGACAGTATTTCACACTTTCAACAGCCACATTGTATAAAGGATTCTGTATGCGGTATTAAAGGACACGGAACAGTTACCAGCATGAGAAAAACCGATCTTCCTCAACCAAGGAGGGAGAAACTTCAACAAACATTCAGTGCTCGATCAGTCTGACTTCATTCTTTGCTCTTTGACTGGTAACAGCTTCTCGGTCTCCCCTCTTCCCATTCTACCTCACATCCTGGTGACCTGATGAGAAAGCCAGAGGGCTCCTTCCTTAGGCACTGGTGGAAAGTGTCAATCACAGCTCTGGTACCCTTCAGGCTCTGCCCCTTAACCACTGTAGAAACCCCATACCAGCAAATCCGGAGAGGAGGGCCTTCACGACCAGTTGGATCACAGTTCTACATCCATTATATACCACTCAGGCATCACTCCGATTCATACCATATTGTACCATAAATCCAGCACTCCTGGTCTTTGAGAAAATGCACCTAATGAACCTCACCTAATGAAGTATCCCCTTTCATCTAAGTAAACCCTTCCTAGACACCTTCATAGTGACATATGACAGGACTGTCATCAAGGCGTAACAGATTTCAACCCTCAGGTTGAAAATCATCAGTAGGAACATAGCCTTTTCAAAAGCCTCAAATAAATATTAAGATGAAGGTTACAAGTCCTTTCCACGGGTATCCTTGTAACTTTGACAGCTATTAGGACTTTTTTGATTTCTGATTACTATGCAGAATTTAACTTGAATAATCTGAAAAGAATTTAAGAGACTTAGTTTTCTCTAGTATGAATTATCTGCATGTGGCCTGTTGTAATGATTAAACAACTTTTCACATTATTACATTTTTAAGATTTCTCTACAACATAAAATTCTTTGATGAATCCTGAAGTCAGACCTTTGTCTCACAGCCTTCACACACTCAGTGCATGTGTTTTCTCTCCAATGGAATTCTCTCATGACTCCAAAGGTATAAACATCTGATGAAAGCTTAGCACATTTGTTACACTTACAAGGTTTCTCTCCGGCAGGAATTCTAATATCACATAATGCTTTGACCTATGGCTAAAAGCCTTGCCAAACCCATTACATTTACATTGTTTCTTTCAAAGATCTATGTTCTGATGGGTAGTTCTGTGTGAGCCCTGGGTACAGGCTTTACCAAATACATGACCTTTATACAGGTTCTGTTCAGTATGGACTCTGATGTTGAGTAAGGCTAGAATACATATTAATGGTTTTGCCACATACATTTGCGAGGTTTCTCTGTACTGTGAATTCTCTGATGACCCCTAATGCTTGATCTTTGGATAAAAACATTCACATATATTAGGTTTACAATGTTTTTTTTTTCAGTATGCATTTTCTGACATCTAGTAAGGTCTGCAAATTGGGTAAAGGGCTTGCCACACTCATTACATTTGTAAGGCTTCCCCAGTATGGGCTCTTTTATGTTGGATGAGTCTTGAACACACAATGAAGGCTCTGCCACACTCATTACACTTCTAAGGCTTCTCTCCAGTACGAATGATCTGATGTATGACAAGGATGGAGGACTCGTTAAAGGCTTTGTCACATTCTTTACATTTGTAAGGCCTTTCTCCACTCTGGAGGCTCTTACATGGAACAAGGCTTGACTGTTCCATAAAGGCTCTGCCACACTCGTTACATGTGTAAGGCTTCTCTCCCGTATGAACTCTCTGATGAACTACAAGATACGAATGTTGACTATGGACCTTGCCACATATATTGTTTATATGACTTCTCTCCAGTATGGATTCTCTGGTGTGTAGTGAGGTATGACATGCGGTTGAAGGATTTGTCACTCATTACATGTGTAAGGTCTCAGCCCAGAATGAACTCTCTGATGAGAAGTGAGATTCCCCTTTCCTCTAAAAGCCTTTCCACACTCATTACATTTGTAAGATTTCTCTTTAGTATGGATTTTCTTATGTTTAATCAAGTTTGAATGCACAGAAAAGGCTCTGCCACACTCGTTACATTTGTAAGGCTTCTCTCCTGTATGAACTCTCTGATGAACTACAAGATTTGCACGTTGAGTACAGCCCTTGCCACATACATAACATTTATACGGCTTCTCTCCAGTATGGATTCTCCGGTGTGTAGTGAGGTGTGACATGAGGTTAAAAGCTCTGCCACACTCGTTACATTTGTAAGGCTTCTCTCCCGTATGAACTCTCTGATGAACTACAAGATTTGCACGTTGAGTAAACCCCTTGTCACATACATTACATTTATATGGCTTCTCTCCAGTATGGATTATCTGGTGTCTAGTGAGGTGTGACATGCGGTTAAAAGCTCTGCCACACTCATTACATCTGTGAGCCTTCTCATGTTCTATATGAATTATCTGACGATTCACAAGATAAGAATTCTGGCTATAGCCCTTGCCATATATTTTACATTTATATGGCTTCTCTCTGGTATGGATTCTCTGATGTCTGGTAAGGTCTGAAAATTGGGTAAAGGATTTGTCACACTCACTACAAGGTCTCTGCCCAGAGTAAATTCTCTGATGACTAGTGTGGTTTGAGCTTTCTCTAAAAGCCTTCCAACAATCTTTATATTTGTGAGGCTTTTCACTGAAACATGTTTTCTGATGTTGTGTACGTAATGAAGAATGCATAAAGTTTTCCCCAGATTTATTATAAATGTTGATGTTGACATTACGAGGAATTCTCTGAAGTGGTAAAGCAGGACTATTGGTGACCAACTTCTTAACTTTGTTACAATCATAAATTTTCTCTTCAGCTTGAAACTTGTGGAGTTCAGCCCTGTGTAACTGAAACCTTAATCCAATCCCATTTTCAGAACATTTCATATACCTGTTTCCTCCATAGGTTATGTCACTTTTTAGTTTCAACAAATACATTATATACGACGCCTCATGTTTATCATATTGATCAGCACTTTTTCTTACAGAAACACTCTGCCTTAGAGGAACATTATTCCAAGATTTGTTATGCTGTTGGTCTCTTCTGCCAAAGAGACTGCTGTTTGGGGTGACTGTCATTCCTTCGTAACCTGTTTCGTCGTCTCCACACTGACTCTCAAGCTCATGCATGTTTTGCCAGACTTCCCTGAAATCAAAATCCTTGATGTCATTGCTTTTGTGTCGTTGCAACATCAAAGTCTGGCATGATTCCCCTTTGCTGGCATCCTCTTTTGATAAGTCCTTGAGCACACATCTAGCAGAGTTCTCTAAAAGATACAAAGAACCACAGCTATGCAATTAGCGACAGTTGTAAACAAACTGTTTTATATTGAAAACATAGTATTAGAGCAAAAGTAACACTAATAGTTGTGAAACTTCTCAACCATAGTATGCAAATACTTAGGAATTTAAATATTTAGGAATTCAAAGGGAATATATTATTCCTCAATAAGGAAAGGGTGATTACATGGAGATGGATATTATTTTCAGGACAGCCTAGTTCTAACACCCTGTGACCATATCCCTCAGTATTTATGTAGGCCCTGAAACAAGGGGTACCTTTCTGCAAAGTACACACCAATTGGCAGTAGACATATTTGAAGAAAAGCAGCATTCTATCAATGAATATTTACTGTATAATTATTATATTCAAATATAGCAGAACACTGTATACTACAATGGTAAATAACCTCAAACAGACTGACCTAATAAGACAAATAAATGGCAGTTCACAACTACAAAATAAAAACAGCACTGACAAAATAATTTAACAGAATACTGTTGTAAGAATACCAAAATAATATTCTGAATTCCTATAATAAAAAATACCTATACTCCCTCATGCTGAATAGGCATTTTGCAACATTAACCACTGGCAAATGACAGTCATAATATATCAGATATTGAAAAACCATTATCTGTAAATTGTAATAAAAAGGAATCAAATATTTTAGAAACTCATGATAAATGCAAAAGGTAAATAAGTAAACACAATTATACAATCATTATTGGCAGCATTCTAAAGGCTTCTTCCTTCAGAACAAAGGAAAAGATCTCTGCTCCATGAGCCCAAAATGAGATTTGGGAAGCATGTTAAGAACTGCTGACTTTTGAAATATCTGCTTCAGGCAAATACAGAGTACTTTAAAGACTGATAACTGGGGAAGACAATCAGAAATCAGAATTATGATTTCATGCCCGCAGTAAAGTAACCACAATAAATAGAGCAATTTCCTAACTTTACAACAGTCTTTAATTATGTGATTCTGCAGTTACAACGTACATGTACCGCAGAGTGTGTGCTTTGGAAATGTATTAAGTAATGTCAGGGCGGAGCCAAGATGGCGGCGTGAGTAGAGCAGTGGAAATCTCCTCCCAAAAACACATAGAGCTATGAAAATATAACAAAGAAAAATCTTCCTAAAATAGAGACCACAGCACACAGGACAACATCCAGACCACATCCACACCTGCAAGAACCCAGCGCCTTGCGAAGGGGGTAAGATACAAGCCCCGGCCCGGCAGGACCCGAGCGCCCCTCCACCCGGCTCCAGGCGGGTGGAAAGAAACCGGAGCGGTTTTTTTTTTTTT